CAGCAGCAGGAGGGCCCCACCTTCTGTTCCGGGGCCCAGAAACCAATTTTGAACTTTCTTTTTTACCCATAAGAATTCTCACTCTAGTTTTTAGGTGGCTGTGACTAGAAGGCAAGTGACAATTTTCACTATGGCTCCTTATTAAAATAAGAAAGAAAGAAAAGAATAGAGAAACTTAGAAATTAAAGGCCAATCTATAAATATAATAATTTACATATTAACTTGCATATTAAGAAATACTCAACTTGTTTTTCAGAAGAGCACATCATGTCAGTCATATAAAGCCACATTCTCGTTATCATTGTGAAAGGAAAGCATGCATTACGTGAGAGGGGGCCAAAGTAATCTGTGAACTGAGAAGCTTATAAACAAAGAAAAAGATAGGTTATCTAGCCAACCATGAGATAAAATTTGCTTTAATGATATAATTTTGAGTAAATTTTAAGTAACCTAAAAGAGTGTCAGTGTGCACACCTTAAGTTTTTTTGTTATTACTAAGTTACAAAATGTTGTTATCTTTGGAGGGTTAGATTAGATTTCAGAGCAATTTGTAATAATTATGAAAATGACCCTGTAAGTACAAGAGAAGCAAAATAAAACAAAACAAAATAAAATAAAATATAGATATGAGCCATAACAGATGTTGCAGAATAGGGAAAAGACAATAAGCGACATTGTCACTAACACAGCCCTGGCAACACGCGTCACACATTAAATCATGAACGCCAGTTGGTGGGCACAGCGAGGCGAGAACAGAGAGCGCCTTGTTCCAGCGTGTCTATCTAATTTCAAACTAGTTGCTTAAGTACAAGCTTCTGTTCTGGTTATAGCCAAAGGAAAATTAAACAGTTGAAATATTGTAAATCTTGTCATTCACCCTGGATCACCAATCAGAACTAAATAGGACAGCTTTGAGCAAAGAATCCAAGCAAATCGTTAGCGCTCCCTGCAGATGGAAGCCTGAAGAACAGCAGGACCCACTCGTTAGGCTCTGCACTCCCTATGCCTTCCTCCCGGATCAGGTTCTAGCGAATATGATAACAGGGATGGGCTCTTCATTGCACTCGTCTATGCTCATGACTACGGCTCCGTAGAGTCCGGTGGCAGATGCCACATTCCACCCCTGGGACTGGCCCGGGGAGCCGTGTCTTCTTGGGCTGCGGCTTCTCTGAGGTTTCAGGCAGGTTGGGGTTGCCTCCCTTTTCCTCCTCTGGGTCTGTGTGATGAGCTAACAAGCAGATACATGTGAAAGCGCTTTGTTGACACAAATGAAGGGGTTACTACTTTTATTATTTTAGGGTGTGGAGTTGGTGGAGGAAAGAACATAAGTCAGAAGTCCTGCATTTGAATCCTGGATCATCTCATACGAGGTCCTCCCTTTTCTGAATGCTTTTTCTAAGTATCTTCCTGTGGTTTTTTTCTTTTCCCCTTAAATCAGATGTTCCTTACGTTTGTGTATGTGTGCCACGAGACCTCTTTGGCATCCTAGTGAAGCTAATGAATCCCTTTTCAGAGTAATGTTTAATGCATAAAGCTAAATGCATAAATTTAAATGCATAAAATTAGAATGCTTAGGATTACAAAGGAAACCAATTACACTGATATAGTTATCAATATACCGCCAAAAATGTAATATTGTAATACATGTCCTTTATTAATGCATTACATACCAAGAGCTAGTGGCAGGTCTAATAACTACTGTAATTCTGAAGTAGCAGTGAGTGGACATCATACTTTGAGATATTTGCAACTGTTACGTGATATGAAGATGTCTTTGATTTCTACTTGTGACAAGTCATAGGTATGGCTAATTCTACTGTGGATTGTTGCCTACATTTGCGATTGAAGGAAATGGTAAATTTTTGTTAGAGGTTAGTAAAAATTAAAATGAAATTTTTGCTCACCCATGTCCTGAATTCTGTCTGAGATGCTCAGAAACCCCTTGCCTTGAACTGCATTCTTTCCTCTTATGCTGTGTGCTCTTCAGGGGCAAACTCACTGCGCCTGCTGCTGCCCTCCAGCTGCAATTTGCCTGTGTGTGCAATGACTCCTAGATATGTACCTCCTGTCCTAACAGGGCACTGGAGCGCCAGATCTGTGTCTCCTGCAGCCCGCTGCACATCCACCCTTGATGGCCCACAGGACCTCACACTCAGCCTCCAAAAGCCACCTCCTTGGCTTGGCCATCCCACCTCCCCTCCTCCAGCCTGCTCTTCCTCCTGTGTTCCCAGCTCTGAGGATGGCACTAACAACCTCTGCATGGCTCTGGCCCCAAACCTAGCTTGAGCAAGGGAACTAGTGAGCACCGCTGCTGCCAGGATTACCACCCCAGCCTCCTTGATGATGTTCGTGACAGTGTAAAGTTGTACGTTTTAAAGCACTGGTCTGCCCTTCCCTTCACCTGGAATGTCTTCTAAATTTCTACGCACCCTACAAGGCTTGGTTCCCCCTTATTTATCTTTCCAACATACACAGCTAGTTGCTTTCGGGTTTAAAATCTTGGTGACGCCTCTTTGACTCCATGATGTGACATCAGAAGACTCCTGCCTCCCTCGCAGTGTTTTCTTCTGCTGGTCCCCTGGCCTCACCAAGCTTCCTTGGTCCCTCCAATGGCCTTCTCCCCATTTCCCCCTTTGCCTTGGCAGGCCGAGTGAGGGCCCTCTGCCTGGGGATCCCTTACCTGCCATGTCGCCTTCAGGTCTCAGTTCTGTGGCTGCTTTGCTGAAAAGCCTTTCCCAGCCTGTGTCACCATGGGGACTGCTCACAGAGCAGTTCTTGTGCAACTATCTCCCCATCCCTTTCATTTGACCAGAGTCTGGCAGGGTTTCACAAGTGGCGTGCACTTGGAGGACAGAATTATTAAAGTACATGGTCAGAAGCATTGACTTCAGAGCCAAATGGCTTGGGTTCTAATCCCAGCTCCACCAGAGCTGTTTGATCTTGGCAACATACATACCCCTTAGGTGCCTCAGTTCGCTCATCTGTAAAACTAGTGTAATAATAGAGGTGTGAGATTTAAATGAGTTGATGCTTGTAAAGCACTTCAGAACTATGCCTAGCTTATAGTGAGAGCTTAAATATTAGCTAGTATTCTTAGTTTTAGCTTCAGTAGTGTGGCTTGGGCTGATTTAAAAGTCACATCCTACTATACTTTTATTTTTGCTGGAGTTTTATTAGACTGTAGTGTAATTTGAAACCCAATATTTAACTTCAGCTCCATTGAGGTTGATATGGGATGTTGATTTTAGCAGAAATAATTTATATGAGACAAAAGGAAATACTTTTTAACAGAAAGGTAGGAAAAATCCTGGGGATACAGCCTTTTAACAGAATGATGGAGACATCGTCCCACCGGTAGTTATATAGTTGAATTGGGGATTTATCCGTATTTCTTCCATTTCAAAGATGACATTGACCTCACAGGAATTTTCCTTGCAGCTCTTTGGGTAAAGGAGAGATCAATATTATTTATCAGAGGATTTCTCTGAGAATGCAAATCATCATATAAGTTTGCAAACCAGATCTACATCAAAGAGATGGTTTCGAATGTAATTACTTTATTTTTGCATAAGTATTTTCATATCCTCTAGAAATATTTTGCTCTTGTGGGAAAAAAACTTTTCAGGATCCTTACCACAAATTGTATGTGACATTAATGTGCCCTTATAACTGATCCTTCTCTTCCTTTTTGTTTTTCTTCCAGCATCCAAGTACATCATAATACTTCCCCTGAGGTTTCCAGCCTTTTCTTGGTTTTGCCACCAGGTGGCGCACTGACTCCTTTGTAAGGCATGGGCCGCATGCCTTGAGGCTAGTTTTCTCACTGAGGTAGGTGACTGGCTTGCCTCCCTCATTCTAAAGTGACCCCGTGAGAAACTGTGGAGCCCTGACCTGGGAGTGGGTGGGGGAGGCAGGCGGGGCGAGTGGTAGACCTGAGGGAGTCTCCAGGTTTTTCATGCCTGATCTTGTTGAGCTAATATGCTAATGGCTTATTTTTCATCGGTTTTGAGTAACTTGAATTTTACGAGAAATACACGTAAATCTATTCGGCAACAAGTAAATCAAGTTTTCCTTGGACTATTTGGTCTGATCTTATGGTTTAGAAGAAACAATAAAGTGAGGTAACCTTGACCATTATGTTAATTAGGTCTTATTTAAATAAAATAGAAATCATGGAGGCAAGCCATTAGAATTAAAACTGTTCTTGGAGTTGAAAACTAAGGGAAAGTTGTGTATACTGTGAACACATTATGTTGAGTAGCAGAGCATGGATTCTTATTCTTTCTTAAGCAATATGCTGCAACATTATTGACTGTTTTCAGATAAAAATGCCTTAAGGAAATTATCAAATACATTTTTTTAGAATGAAAAATAAATTTAAAGTTCTAACTTTGAAACCATATTGAATGATATTAAGTTCCATTTTAAACTATAAAAAAACTAGAAAAAATATTTATCTTATAAATATAACCTAAATGTAGATGGTGAAACTGAATTATGAGTGATTTTCAGATTTACAGACACCAAGTCAGAATCAGAAGTTAGAAGGTGCTTTGATAAATTTTCCCCGTGAACTTCATTAATTTTTAGACTTTAGTGGTGAGTGGGAGGCTTATTTAATGCTATCCCCCTGCCAAAAAATCGGAAAATAGTGATAGTATGGGACTTTGCTTCTCAGAAACAATAACTTCACGTGTCCCTCTTACGCAATGTGAAATCACAGTGCTACATGTCCACCACTGGCACCCAACTCCAACAACAATATAAAACTCATTTTATGGCCCAATGGAGGGCAGACTGTATGCCTCTTAAAATGAATGATTCACTTTAATACAGTGTCTGGGGGAGAGAAGGGAGTGAGAGTTCTTCTAGGGGAGAAAGGGGAGTACGAGTTCTGTTTGTTTAAGTTTGTGTGTTATAGTTTTCTTGGGCAGCAAGTACAAAAGTGAAGCCTGAAGCATTAGCTCATTCTGTACATGAGTTTTATTTCTCACAGCAGCCTAGTGTCTATTTAACATACGGGGAGTGGTTTCAAGTTCATTACCACAGCTTATAGGCTAAAGTGCTTTGTGGGCTTGGCTGTGACTTAAATTGCCTTTAGGGAGTCGGCCAAAAACCGGGTTGGGAACAGACTGCTTTCCCTGTGTCTGTGGATTCTCAGGGTGGTCAGATTTTTCCCCTCTCCCTCTCGGCTATCAGCTGCTTTGGAGACTAGTTTCATTGTGAGAATTCTTTCTTTAAAGCAAAATGGAGCGACTACTTTCACAGGGGCGCCAGGTTAGTAAATAACATTTTGAACTTGCTGCTGCATGTGTCACATTTTCTCTCTGTGCTCAGGGGCAATGATGTGACAGTTAGCATTGCATTTGTGCTGTTGCTGCGTTCTTTTAGAAAATAATGCTAGTTCGTTGATCCTGCCGAGGTTTGGGGGTTATGATTCTTCTTATAATATATGCATTGTTTGACAATATTAAACGCAAGTGGAAGCCAAGAAGAAATAACATATGTGTGTTGGATTTGCAGTTACAGGTTTGGACTTGCTTGTAAGCATTTTCAGTTCCTTTTTTAGAATTACTTTCTTTGTGTCCACGCATTAAATCTTCTAGGCATAAGTCTGATTTTATACACAGGTGATTTTGGGTGTTTTGGACATTAGGCAGCCGTGTGTTGCCCCCGCTAGCAGTGTTGTCGCTCACACACTCGTGCATGCTCGTCTCATGCATGGTTTTACCTTGGGCCTACTCCTTATAGTTACAATGAACCAGAATATCATTTTCATTTTCTCTTCGAAAAGTCTGGCATTTTTCTAGAATGCCTCATAAAATACCTGCATAACAGTTTATGTGGGCAGAATGTACAGGTGGATCAAGCTGGACTGAATCCCTTCCTTAGTTGTCACTGTTTTTATTCTCAAGTGATTCCTCAAAATCTGAGATCACTCTAGGAGTAAATATGACTGTAAAAGTGGAGTGTGGCTTATAAAAGATAAAAGTATTGCTAATAGTAATAAGATGAAATTGTCAATAAAATTAAGTACCAAGAGAATATCTTCCTTAATTTCATCAACTTAAAGATCTAGAGAGCAATTTTACTTTTGTTAATTTGTCACCAAAGCAATTCGGCACGAAGTTGTTCCGTAAGAATAGTAGTTCAATTTGATGATGTTTTAATGTTTGCAGCACTTTATGAAATATTCTTGCTTTTATGTTACTTTAAGGACGCTTCACTTCAAGGGAATGTACGAGTGTTTTAAAATATGCTAATATGCTTATGTCGTTGCCATTTTATTCTCTTCTTTTTCCCACTTGGAAATACAGTGTTTCAGAAAGGGTCTGTTCTCTCATGTTCTCCTCTGTTTAAAAAAATAAAATGGAAGGAAAAGGGAGACAGAAATAGGTACTTAAAAAAAAATCTTTGAGGTGATTTGCTAAACTTTAAGGATCCCAGTTCCCATCTCTAGGGCTGAGGCTGAAGTTGTGAAGTTATGGCTGCCTGCCATTCGGGCTTACCAACTTGACCCCTTTATACCCCCAGACGCAATTGTACAGCTGTATTACCGCCCCCGCCTTTAACAGCAGATCCACTAGGCCATTTTAGCTTACCAGGAAAAATCAAAGGTGGCTATGACTTGCTTATTTACGCTATTACTGCATATATGTGCTATTATCAATTACTAAATGCTGTTAATTTAAATTTTAAAGGAAGACTTGTCAATCTGATTGTAGCTGCCCAATGATTTTAAAGAACAATGTTAAGACATTTTACTCATTGATTACTTGTTTGTGTTTAATTGGCATGGATAAAAGTCTTAAAAAGCCCACATAAAGCTCATTTATGTCTGGTAGATCTTAGTTTCGGTGTTCCCAAGTGCTTCACAGCCTCTTCTTCAAGAGATGATAATAAAACAAAATAGCATTGATTAGAAACTGAAATAAACAATGTGGCCAAGGATAGAATAAGAGGGGAAACTCCCTAAAAACCAGATTTTAGGGTTTTCCCAAAGAATATTCATTAAAATAAGTTTCCACCAAAACTGGGGAGAAAAAAAAAGACTGTATAGTAGTGTTCAAAATCTGTCATTTGGGATAAATCTTATTTCTGATTCTAGGTTTGGAACATGTAGCACTGCAATTCTGATTCTCATCTTGCTGGACTGGTCTAGTTTTGTTACATCTCTGCCTTTTGGCTAAAACCATGTAGAGACAGGCATTTTTCTTGTTCCGTACCATCTAATTTTAAGCTTTGAGCTGATTAATTTTTATCCAACATGCTTTCTTGTTGATATTGCAAGTATCTAGATGTCTCTTAAATCTTACATGGCTTATGAACCTAGCTGATGATCTAGAAGCATGTGATTCTTATTTTCTTTTAAAGTGAATCTGAGTTTTGAAGTTGAAAACAAATTCTTAGGCAAACTATTTCAACGTGAATTGGCCCACACCGGAAACATTGGGAAAATTAAATGGCAGTAGAAGATAAGGACTCTGAGGGAAGAAATGAATAACTAGGAGTAATTGTGATATTAAAAGTGGGTTTTCTGACTGCTGAACCTTGAAAATTTTTCACCTATCCACCAGTTCCATTCACACCCCAGAGCATTCGTTCCCGTTCATAGTCTTGATCTTCACGGTGCCTGTTTCGGGAGGTGTCAGCTCTTGATCTGCAGTTTCTGGCCTTTGCAGATTCATGTAATGGCTACAGTGAACAGTGCCACCCCTGCCTTTTTCAGGCCTACCCCCCGCCCCCCGCCCCCGGTTCTTCCTGCCATTAACCCTGCTCACTGAAGGTGCCGACGTGCATGGGTCTTGTGATTACATATCAAAAGGTGGGGACAGAAAGCAGGGTAGACTATGTCACCCATCCCAGGAGTTTACTATTTCAGTAATGACAGTAAATACTAACTTCCCAAAGGGATTGCAAAGGCTGAGCTGATCTGACCAAGGACCTCCCCAGTCCCGTCTTTCCTTCTGAAGAACCCAATTTAAGTTTGACTTTCTGGCATTTCTGGGGGTGATGGTAACAGTAGTCATGGCAGGAGTAGTAGAGGTGGTAGAAAGAGGAATAATAATACCCAATACTCAGAAAACGTTTCCTAAGGGCAGTCCCTGTACTAAGCCTCTTATTTTATCCTCACAACAAGCCTAAAAGGTCAATTGTCTTTATTATCCCCATTTTGCAGTTGAGGAAACTGTCCCAGGAAGGTTATGTAATTTGTCCCAAGTAGTAGCAGCTAGTAAGCAGCAGGAACACTATTGTGCCGCAGAGAGGTGCTGTGGTGGGAAATTGATATGAGAAGTTGACGTTCTTGGGCAATATAATCCAATATTTGTTATGAATGAGAAGCAACCATGTAAATACTGATGTCGGTGCTGCTCTTCATACTCAAGATGCTTCTGTTGACCCACTGTCAACCAACCGACTGTCAACACTGTCAACCTTTGTGTTCTTTTTCTACTGGGTGGGGGGTGAGCTTGTGCTGTGCTTTCTCACCCGTTCTGCTGGTGACCAATGGCAAGAACCTGATGACGAATGGCAGGATATAGAGGTTGCCCGTGGTCAGTAAACGAGACCAGTGGTGACCAGTACACGTAGAAAATAAGCCCAGAGCATTGAAAACTGTCTGTTGACTACGTAAGCTCATCTTGGAACTTTTGAGACTTTTTAAGGCTAAGATAATAAAATCACTAAGGGTAAGAACTTGCACCTTCTGGTTGTTTAGCTTTAATTTGGCCTGTGTGAGTGTCCTCTTTATTCCTGCCTAGTGTGATTTCCTGCTGATAATCAAAGCTCTGGGTATTTCGTCAGGCCTGAAGGCTTTCTGAGACTTAGTGGAAAGCCAAGAATATGAGACATGTATTTCCTTTAAAAACATAAATGTGCATGTGAAAATGTTGGGTAAATAACTTACTCTAGAGTTGGCCAAAACTTAAACACGTGACAAATAAGTTTGGAATTTTTAACAATATATAAAAGTATAGCCCATAGATTAAGGATCTAAGTTAAAAAAAAAAAAAGGAAAGAAAAAAATCAATATAAATTCTGGTCTTTGGTTGGGGAAGCACTTTCTCTTCCTAAAACTAATGGAGGAAATCACACAAGGAATAAGGCAATAGATTGGGATTTTCCAGGTAGGAATGTAAAAACTTTAAGTACAGAAATACTCACTGAAGCATTATTTTTCATGAAACATTGGAAATAATCAAAACATATAGTAGTAGAAGAAAATTACATGATGGACCATTATGTAACTATTACAACTTTATTTATGAAAAATTGTAATAGGAGAAATGGTGATGATAGATCTTTAAGTTAAAACACTGGATATCAGGGCCAGCCCTTGTGGTGTAATGGTTAAGTTCAGCACGCTCTGCTTTGGTGGCCCAGGTTTGGTTCCCAGGCATGGATCTACACCACCTGTCTGTCAGTGGCCATGCTGTGGCGGTGGCTCACATACAAAAAGAGGAAGATTGGCAACAGATGTTAGCTCGGGGCGAAACTTCCTCAGCAAAAAAAGAACAACAAAAAACACTGGGTATCAAACTATTTGTACATCATATATTTGCCCGTGTTTAAAATATATCTATCTCTGTGTGTTATATTTAGGGAGACAGCAGAAAGGATAGTCACCTTAAGTTAATATGAGTTTAGGAATTATTTTGAAGGTGGAAATTTCTGGTAGTTTATATTTTCTTCTTATACTTTTCTGCATATTAATATTTTTAAACATGATTACTTTATATGTATTTGAAAGAAAAACCACTCATGGAGAGAAAAAAATAAGAACAACATATACCAAAATTTAATGGCAGGTTAACATCACCTGCAATCTATTTAAGGTGGTGGCTCTAAGAATGATTTTAATTTCCTCAAATAGTTCGTAAATTTAAGATTTCCCTTAAGAAGAATTTATTATTTTTATTTTTAAAAATTTTTATTTATTTATTTATTTTTGTGAGGAAGATTAGCCCTGAGCTAATCTGTGCCCATCTTCCTCTACTTTATATGGGACGCTGCCACAGCATGGCTTGACACGCGGTGCATCGGTGCGTGCCTGGGATCTGAACCCACGAACCCCTGGCCACTGAAGTGGAGTGCACGCACTTAACCGCTATGCCACCAGGCTGGCTCCTATTATTTTTATAATGAAAATTAAAATAGATTAGGTTAGAGTTGAGACAACATCAATTTTTATAAAGGAGAGATTAGTTTTACTTTGAAGAACAATTATTTTGCTGTGTTTATGCATTACTTTAGGAAACTGCCTTTTGATTTTTACG